GATTTATTACTCAGAAATGGGGACAGTTTTGACAGGGTATGGCACTGGGGTGATTTTCATTAAGCCTGGGTAATATTTCACAACCACAAAAACTTGCTTTCTGAAGTGCTGTCTATACAGAAGCTTGCCAACAGCCACAATTTACAGACTAAGAACTACTTTTCTTCAAAATTACAGGGTTTCTTTGTATTTTTATATCCTGGGACACAGACGGTGATAATCAGAATGGCACATTGTAGAGGTTTTGTTTCCATCATTAGAGTGCAATAGATATACTTCATACAATATTTAAGGTACCCAGCTCTGACCATATTATTTTAGCTACTTGAAGGAATGTTTTTCACCTTTGAAAAAGCATTCTAATAATATTTTACAACATAAACTCTCTCTTAAAACATATTTATGCACACACAACGTACTTTATATATACTAAATATTCTCACTTTTAATTGCAAAAGATTCAGAGAGTTATTAGCAAAGAAATTGAAGCAGCTACACAGACATTATACTGAAGAGGCATGACACAGGTAAAAAAAGTATTCTGATTAACATTTGTCATCAATAGGACTGATTAACTGTGAAAGGCATGGGCTAGTAGTGTGTGTAGTGTCCGTTAGAGGAATCTGCCCCAGTTATTTAACAGAGCCTGAACAAGCATGTTTCTCTTCACTAGAAGCTACAGGCTTGGGCAATTAGCAATTCTCCAATTGCTGCCAGTAAGTATGAAAGCTAATGGACAGAAAACAGAGAGCACAGATAATATTACGATTGGGTGATGTAATTAGTGGAGTGCCTCAGGAATCTGTATTAGGAACCCTCCACTTTCAATTTATATACTGGAGTAAATATATTGCTAGTTTTCTAGCTACCTGTATACCCTAATCTAAATAATTTATATTTGCAATTTATATAGCAAGTGAACTATAAACTTGTTGAATTCACAGTTGGGGATTAAGATGGAAGATGCAACATAAATTCTAAGAAGCCAATTTCAGAACTAGGCAAACACCTGGCACGTAATATTTAACATAGAGAAGCGCAAAGTGTTGCAAGTTAATTAAGATATCTTTTCTAAATCCATATTGTCTATCCCTTAGAAACCCATCACCATTATCTAGCCTAGTTCGAATTATTTGTATAACCTGACATAAAACAGAAGTAAAATTTATTGGTTTTAATTACTTAATTTGGTTTTGTCACCCTTTTTATGAAAGGGTCCTACATTCAATTACATCTTGCAATTTTCCAGTCAACAGATATTACCCCTGTCTTGAGTCACTACTGGAATTGTTTTATTGAGGGCCTATTAGTTACACTTTTTTCCTTAAGTACAATTAGAAGAGTACCGTCAGGCCCTTAAGGTTTTGTAAGCTTCTGATGCATGCAACACAAAAAGGTTCCTATGCTATATATGCTAATATGATATATTTATTTGCATACAGGTACACTTCAAGGTAGCAAAAAAAACAGAGACAAGAAGACACTGAGTATTTTTTCCTTTGAAACGTCAAGAAGAGAATAATCTCTCTTAAAACATAATAGCATTCCCTGTACTGTTCTCCCATTAAGCTTCAATACACCAATTAATATCACAGATTGTGTTCTTTAGCCCTGATATGCATACAATTCACATCTATGATATAATGTCTCCCCACCTTTTGTTATAGACCTACTTAATTGCATATTTAAGAGATTTCCTGATGTACATGCATTGAAAAGCTACTGAAGTCATGAATATACATAAGCCATGTGTGTAATAAAATCGGCAAACTGCAACTACCAACCTGGTAGTCACGACTGAATGTGCAATCTGCCTCAGTTTGAAAAGGGAGAAGCCATGAGCGTGCCTGCTGCTCTCACTGATCAGTCCATACCACTCACTCTGGTTTAAGACACAAATTCTATTTCCTGAGTCTTCAAAGACAAAGCTTTACATTAACTAGAGTCTTAAAAAGTTACAGCAAGAAAATTACAAAAGCGAGCTCTGTGGGAAAAAAAAGGCTGAGATAAAAGGGGTTATGCTCTTTCTTTGCTCTTATAAAAGCTCAAAATAGCTAATCTGTCATGTCTCAAATTAGGCCAATTTTCTACAGAAATTTCTTTTTTTTTTTAAAGATTTTTGCAGCAGGTGTGCATTTAAATTAATCAAAATAATAAATGAATATGGGATTTGCTAATAAAGTATCCAATTTATTTGAAAAAATGCATAAAATCTGGGCATGTTTTATGCAAAGCCTCTATTCTTTGAATAGATTAGAAACTCCTTTTTATAGCTAAGCCATCAGGCTTCCCACTGAGAAAAGATTACAGTTTTTTTATAATAGCACATTATTGAGGCTAATGCAGTACGTATCTCTGAGATGCTGTCACCATTATATGTGCTTTCCTTCTAACATTTACATGTACCTAATGTACTTAATGTACCATTAATCATTTCTATGTTTCAGCATTTTAGCAATGCATTCCCAAGAACAGCATTTAGATGAAGATGGAACAGAGAAAACCTGACCAGGGTGCAATTGAACAGAGCCTGGCAACACACAAAGCAGTGAAATTTTTAGAAGTACACGGGCTTTGTGTTAGGGAGGGAATCCCAACAGAGAAACTAGAAGTAATTATGTATCACATATTAAAGGCTTTATGTTGTTTTTGGTAACCAAAAAAGAAAAAAAAATTAAGCATTTCATGAACATTTATGTATTACTAACAGCATTGAGTTTAATAAAGTGCAGGTAGACCTTAAAACACTTACAGTATAAGATGAGAGCATATTTTACATTTTTATAAGGATAATAATAATAATAATTAGTTGTATTTATAGTGTTTATCTAGTGGTGTGAGTGTGTGCGTGATTGTGTATCTGTGTAACTGTGATGGACTGGCATCCCATCCTGAGTGTATCCTACCTTGTGCCCATTGCTTGCCAGTATAGGCAAGGATAGGCTTCCCCATGACCCTTTATCGGAGCAGTTAGAAAACAAATGGATGAGTGGATCCCATACAATTTTACACATAGATGAAGAAGCAATTCATCCAACACTGAAGTACAGCATCAACCTGGGTGACAAATGGAAGACATTTTGTGTACCAGCAGCTCCACCAAACTGGAGATTAGGTTGAAAAAGCTAAAAACTACTTTACCAATTAAAGTAAGAGGGACCTTGAGGTTTGTCAGGTTGTTCAGGTCTCATTTTCTTTGCTTTTCCAAAATGGTTGGTTTGTGAGGCTGGGTTCTGAAAGGTAGAGTTGTTCCAAAGTATTAGTCCTCTCACATTTTGGCTTTGCTCTGTGGAACCACTGAACCCCAACAAACTATAGGTTTTAGATTTTTTCTTAAATAAACTAAAAAAAAAAAAGAAATATCTCTCACATCGACTTATTTTTACACCTAATTCCTGGGGTCACTCTCACTTTTTCTTCCGCTGATGTAAATAAAAGTGTTTTACTGGGTCTTGTTTCCTCTGCATTTAACTGGATAAGTCAAATGATCAATTCTCAGCTACAGTGATGAAATGGAGAGTACCTATTTATTCAGCAGGGTATTTATCAGAGTAATATACATGATATATTTTGTTCAAGGGTACATCCAATATCCCAACTGGGATTTTAACGTGCAGCACTTTGAACTTTAGATTCCCTTATCTCTACTCCATGGTACTGTCCAATCTCCATTGTCATACACCTAGACTATAACCTAAAACCTATAACTGATTATAAACTATTTAATTTAATAATCATTATACACTACTGCTTTCTTAGAGTGTCTAGTATAAAATTACATTCTTTAAGCAAAGAACTGAGAGCTTCATGTTAATTAACTGCATTCCAACATTTTTTTTAAATTAACATTATATTTCAAGTGAGGCACATCCCTAAGACAACCTGCTGAAAGATGAAACGTGCCGGCGACCCACAATTTAAGTAGTTTTATAATGAGATCGCTGAAAATGCAGTATAAAACATTGACTAACAACCAAATGAGCTCATTTTCTACACTTCCGTAAGGAAAAACAAATGGTATTAACATTTGCAGAGTTCTAAAAAGACTGATCGCAGGCCAGAAGGAACGGACAGAACAAGAAATTAGATGATGATCAAAACAAATGATCAAATAATCTTAGCACTAATAAGAAGAGTAAAATGACAGGTCAACATTAGCCCAGTACCATACAGCACACAAAGCCAGACCTTTCATATGAAAATACAACTACTGAAGACAATACTAAGAGCCTTTTGTTTTCGCAAAATGAGAGTCTACATTTCTCTCAGCTTGTCGTCAAGTCATTCCACATGATACTAGGCCTCCTGGTATTTTTCTATTTTTTCTCATTGTGTTACTGATTTGTTATCATATAACGTGCTTCCTCACAACTTTCAAGTTAGTCATTGGAAAAGCCTTGAGAACATAAGCAGTCAAAAGGTTCCTAGTGACATGGGATCAAACATATCGTTAAAGATGAATGGAAAAACATAGTAAAAGTGAGGTTATAAATCTAAAAGTAACCGTAAGGCAGTATATTTAATGAAAGTATAACTCCTGAGAATTACTGATTCTATCATGGTTTTGTTTTGCTATAGATGTTAATGCACCCAGACTGAGCTTTTCCTTACCTGCCTTAATGATCTTATATCACTTATGCAGCAAAAGGAAATTATTTTCAGCATGGAATTAACATTTGCTTGTTCCTCTGCAGCCCGCACACTGACAGCCTCCCAAAACCTATAGGTTCTCTTTGTTAAAATCTAAATACATCTAAGTTGATGAAAATTCCCACCAGTGTTTTTGCCTCCATTTTTACAGTTTAAAATCCCTAGTGTGGAAAAGGTGGTAAAAGAAAAGGGAATTTATACACACAGCCACAGCAAATACAACTGTTAAAGACACTACAGTGAAAGAGTCACTAAACCGTTTAGAGGAACTATAATGACTGTAACCTAGAGATCAGGCTTTCATTGTGTTACTGCTGTACCTCCAAAAAAAGCAAAATAGAAAGAGTTAGTTCTGGAATTTTTATTTTAATAAAAAATGAAAATGATGTCTTTCCTTTGCTCTTTCATGATTTTTTAAATCTATGTTATTGTTTGATAAGAAAGGAGTTGAGATAATGTACATCATTATTGCAAGTGGAAAGATTGAAGTCTGTAAAAAAACATCTTTCAATATCCCCGTGGAACATTTACACTTGACCAGGGTCAGCCAGATGATAAAGACACAATTACTAAACCAGCGTGTGCACAAACTCCTGGTATAGCTCTAATAGTTCAGCTAATTCAAATTCCTTTTTCAGTTCCTCCAGAGATGAATAATCTTTAACTTCAAATGCTGGAAGCCTGAAACAGTAAGAAGGAAAGAGAGAGAGATTACTTAAAAGTGTCAAAGCCTTTACTGTTTGTAATCAGGGGCTAATTAATGATGTGACTATGGCAATGTAGAGGCTGTGCATGAAAACATATGTTTGTATTATTTTAGATGTATTCTATAATTATTGTATTAGATAGATTCTTGTATAAAACAACATCAATAAATGTGAAGTAATTCTAAAATTCTGATTTATTCTAAGAATTATTTTTTTAAATAAGAACCGATATGCAAGTATATAACATAGGTTTAAGAAGGTGTTAACTATATTAGAAAGGTTTGAACTAGAACTGTAATTCAATCATCATACTGTACATCAAACACTTTTAGATATCACTACACTGTCCTTCAAACCACAAAGCAAGTTCTTAACTGTTTGTGTGCTGCAGGCAGCTGTGCTTCCCAAAGGACACGCATCATTTTTTCTTTGCATTTCTTTCCAGATGAATCAACATCCACCTTTATTGTCTTCTGAAGAAGAAGGTATTCCTTGAAATAAAGAAATTAAAAAGCTGTCATGACCACAAGCTCACTTTAACCAACAATATATCAAGAAACCTAGAAGACACAAAATGATCTTCTAAAACTATCATCACTGCGTTAGAAATTAAAGGCAGTTATCAACAGAGTAATTCCTTCCATTACAAAGTACAGTATTTGAAAGAAAAATAATGCAGGCTTGCTTTTACATATTCCACATTCAGAGAGTCTGTTTCTTATCCTCCCATCTTCTGTCACTAAAGCTAATAATGATTTTCAACAGGACAAGGGATTTTAGGTTTTAAAAGGGGCAAACATAAGAAATGTGCATCTTTTCTATCAATTCACAAAAAAAAAACAAAATAAAAAAAGCTTTAATTTTAAAGATATTTCCATACGACTTAAAAAATACTGAAAATACTTTTGTTCATTTTCATGGCAATTTATAGCTAATTTCTTTAGACATGTTTGCATATTGTTTTAACAGATCAAGGTTCCTCACTTTCACTTACCATGGATCTCAATCTCAAGTGATATGCATTATAGAAATCTGAATATTTGCTTATAAAACTATTAAGCCCATTCAGACAAGTGGATGGTGAAATGTAGTCTACACACAAATAGGACCCTGCAAAATACTTTCACTTGGGGGCGATAACAATAAATACAAGAGGGCTCTACATCCACAGCAGTTCTACCAATTTACGAACCTTTTGAGAACACCTATGACGTTAGTGCCCTGTGGTGTCAAGTGTCATTGTGCACAGGCCCAATCATTTGTGAACACGATTCCATTGCTCCATGGTGCAGTTTTAATGTTACTGTTGTTTGATTAGGTCAACTGACTTTAAAGGGCCTCCTATGTGACATTCAATTTCCCTTTGTGTGCAATATAAGCGGCTCTTCTTTAATTTCCTAGCAGCCCTTTTAAATACCTTCTGGTGTTTGAAATATGAAAAAACACAAAAAAACTGACAAGATTATAAATGAGAGACAGGCATCTGGTCCATCACAAGAGTCTTTCCACTCAAGTAAAAATGCTATCATCTGCAAGCTATAAAATGACTTGATTCCTTTTTTTTTTATTTCCATTACTTTCTGGGCATGTTGTGAAAGGGCAGAACATTAATGATCAGATCCTGAAATTTACAAGTTGCACAGTGAAACAATCATATACTGTAAGCAACTTTGTACTAAACAGAAAACCGTGTGAAGACTAAGTGAAGAACACTGTGGTTTATGTCAGTATACCTTTGTATCATATTCCTTTGATAGGGTACATCAGTTCCCCTAAAACAGGATTTAGAAAGTAGAAAGCTAGTCAGTTAATAGTTCCACCATTGACAAGTCTACAGGAATCTTTATGAAACATAATATTAAGCGTCTCAATTATTAGTTTTTGTTTTGCCAGTAGCTCAATGTTTATCTACTGTTAATTTGTTTTATCCTTATCTACACTGACCATTTCAAATCAAATCACAAAACAAGTTATTATGAAGGAATCAGAGGTTAAGAGAAGACGAATTGGACAGGACAGATATTGCATTGGTGCAATGGATGGCAAAAAGTTTCACCTTGAAGCACAGAACAGAGTTAGTAAATCAAATGATGAAAAGCAGGATGGCAAATGATTTAACAAATCAATTAAGAAATATAAAAATAATTTTGTAATGGAGACCAAAATATGTTTCTTTCAGTATGACATCAAAAAACCAGTACAGGATGAAGTAAAATTTATCATACACAAACATGGGAAACTTCCAGACAATAAAAGGGAGATGACTGTGCACTAAATCAGTATTTCACTTGTGTGCTCACCAAGGAAGAAATCAACAAACATGCCTCAGGCAACAGGAGGACAAAGTCCTGTACTGAACAGTATTAGCATAGAAGAGGCAGAAGTGTTTCAGTGACAAAGAAACTCTCAAGATTAACAAATCTCTATGCCTGTTTGACACTCATGTCAGATAGAGTACCCATGAACTCGAGAACTGCTTATGTACTGCCCATTCATAAAAATGGTGATAGAACTGAATCAAGTAAATATAGATCAGTAATGTTTTACTTCTATTACATGTAAGATTATGGTAATCATAACTAGACCTAAATTTGAGTGCAAACTACTGTATATGGAAGTAAAACCCTGGGAGATGGATCAATATGGATGAACCATCATGGGTTTAGAAAAGGTAGATCGGTCTTACCAAACTTGTAAATGTTCTTTGAACCAGCAACAAACAGTAATGGACACAGGGCACACAATATGGGATATATAGAAAATCAAAAAGCTTGTGATAGAATTCCTCAGAGAAGAGATTAATTTATTGACAGTAAGTTTGCAGAGAAATGCTTAGCAGTAAACACAATTCAAATGTAAGAAACACTCTGAGAAAAAAAGAAAGGATATCGATAATAGTACAGTAGGTTTAGGTCCTATCTGCACTGCAATATCCAACACCCACATTCAAAGTTATAGGCTGATAGAAGATACTTGAAGTCCTTTTTTTCTTCTGCGCAACTGTTTCCTGACTTTCTTAAACCATCACTCCCCCCCCCCCCCCCCCCTTCAGAGGAGGTATATTTCTATCCTTATAATTTAGGATTCAAGGAAGGGCAAGCCTTTGTCTCGTGAAGAAAGAAATAAAAGCTATTTTTCTTGATCTTTTGATATGTTCACTTTGTATTATTGTAGGCGACAAGTAGCCTAACTGTCAAAAAGCAGAAGCGAATACAGCTCAATCCTCTCCTGTGCCCCAGGGAGGCACAGAGATAAGCTTTACTAGTCAATAACTCTGTGCTTCCAACCTTATCTGAGCCTCTGTGGAGATAAGTTATTAACTGATGTACTTATATTTGGGATTAAATTCTTCAATTCTACCATGCAACGTATGCAATAATACTATTGATAAATATTTGGAAAGAATTCACATGTATTTTCACACCACAAATGTAGTAAAATATTTAGTTATTGTGGATGCAGAAAAAGATAAGAAAGGTTGGATTATCTCGTGATTCTGCAGAGCTCAAAAGAAATACCTGTGTCTTAGGTTATTGTCTTCATTTTGTCTTTTTCTTTTAGGTAACACAGATTCATAGTGATTTACGAACAAATGAAAGACACAATTCTGCTGAACATATAAAATACTTCAAAAACAGCCTTATAAGCAAAACATGCACTGGTCACAGTTATGTATCTGCTTACAAGTGCAATAAATTATGTTGAAGAAGAAATCAGTAATATATGAAGTTTTCAGGGCTAGATAATTGTTTCCATATAGGGTCAGGGATCTATTAGTTACTGCAGAGACAAACAGTGCTCAGAATTCGTTATTTCTTGAACTTCCAATTGCCAAAACTGCTGTGTCCTAGCTATAAAGGTTAATTGAATTATGATCCTTCTTTGCTGCTTTCTTCCTCTTCTACAGTCGTCATGTAATTTGGACCTGAAAAGGCTTTAAAACCTTGCTGTCCTAAACAACAGTAGCAGATGCAGTTGGTGTAAAAACATTTATTTAAGGTACAGCATTATATCAACTATAACTAGCTATAATTTTAAATTATAAAGAATACTCCAATGCACAAGTACCTTAATGTTCTCCTTTGTTCCCTGCAGAAGAATTAGTATCAGTTTCCCCAAGAAGAGCCTACCAGTGAGTTCCAGTTCTGAGGTCCATTTCTCAATCATTTTTGTATATTTGGTTTTTGCCCTCATGTGATCGATCAGCAACAAAGCAGTCCATGTCTCTTGCTCACATCTCTCCCCACAGCTCCTGCCAGGACTTGAATAATCTGGGGATTGTTCAGCTGTAGTAATAGCTGTAAAATTCTGCTGCAACCACACCAACAGTTCGTGAACCATGGGCTCCGATATAAGCATTGATGCCCTTTTAAGTAAACTATGCTTTATATTGATGCACTGTTTTCTAGTGAGCTGCTCAGAGCTGATAGAGATATCGGGCAGACAGAATGGATATTCTGGGGGCAACTGAAATACCAGTTTCAGCAACAGTTTTTCTGAGCATCTTTCGAGAGCAATCTGGATTCTAAATATGAATCCTTTCGTGTCTGTTAAAAAAAAAGATGAACAGATCATTAGATCATCATTGTGCGGAATGATGAAATGTAAATTATAGGGTAATTTATACTATTGAATTTGCTTGTTATTTTAAAATAAAAATATAAACATGTCAAATTAAAACACTTTTATATTTCTGTGGGTCCGTTTTGTTTTTCTATAATACATAGGGCAGGTTTAAACTTTTGCAATCACCTCAAGGAAGAGCTTCTTCAGCTGTTCATACAGTTTTCTTCACATTAGCAATGGGCTCACTGCTATTCTCGTATGTGTAAGTAAATAAGCACTGAAGACTTAAAGAGTATAGTTACACAGGTATTTTTTGCAGAAGTGATAGTAAAACCTTAATCACCCTATTAATCTTTAAGAAATAAGCTGCAGTACCATTATGATATGGGTGGTAAACAGTACAATGTGCTTAAATATTTATAACATTTAAAAATGATCTGCAATTTGGAAAACTATCACTCTTAGACTAATGTTTGCATTTTTAATAACATTGCAAAACTAGATTAAAACTACCCTCCTGAACAGTACATTCTGCAAGATATTTTTAATACATATAGAAACACAATAACTGCACTTAAAAGCAAAGATTGTTTGGGGTAAGAGGGCCATCTGCTGTTAGTCCAACAAAATATATTTTGCAAAACTGGACTAAACGCCATTTTATAATGCCGAGTACAAAACAAACCTTAATGTTAATGTACTGCCACGCAATTTATTGTATTGAACTTGACAAGTATGTTTTTAAAATCAACCTATAAAGCAAATATTTTAATCCCCTGTTAAAATATTTGAACATATTTTGTTTTCTTACACCTATATTGTTGTTAACGATATTTTAGAATATAATCTTCTGCAGGATTAGTTATAGCGACAAACGGCGAAATAACTTCTAAATAATGAAATTCACAACATCGCAAATATGTCAGTGATTAGGTTAACTCCGCCCAATACTGCAGGCTCAGAGTAAATATTACAGTATCACTTTAAAAAGTCGTTGTGCTCTGTGTAACAATTTGCAAATTGCAAAAAAAAAACTTACCCGACTGTTGTAGCAACTCAAATTCATCCTTTTCACAGTAGATAGCGGTTAAAACAGAAATTTCTTCCAATGCCGTTCCAGACATGCTTTGCGTTGATTACAACATGTTCTATATACTGTCAAAAATGTTCAAAAACTATGTGACTCTATGTGGTTATCAGCATCAGCAAAAGTCCTTGACGTAACGGTGTCCGATCAGCCATATGCTTCCTTTTCAATGGTTCCGGGTTTGTCGATTTTTGGCTGCAGAGCCATCATGCATTCCTATAAAATTGAATTTGAAAATACATACCGTATTAAATATTTGACAGCATCAAATTTACAATTCCTCTTTCTAATATCCTGCTATATGTAAACATAGAGCCATAAGTATTTTGTTTGGTAATAAAAGTTTATTGAGGCATATTCACAAATTACTCAAAATAATTGCGTTATTCTCCTTAAAGTAACTGTCATCACAATACGAAAAAAATAAGTTAACTTCGTTCATAATATTGGATATCAATTCACTCATTGCATTAAAACCTGTTAAAGTTTTTGGTAAAGTCTCAATATAAAAGTATTTAAGATAAAATACCCTGATAATGAGGAAAAATGTATGTGGTAAGATTCTTCTAAGCCCAAATAACTTACCAAACCTTCTTAACCATTAGCAAAAACTTATGGACACTATGAGAAGTAACCAAACAATATTCGAGAAAGTTGAAATAAAAAAATGAAAGCTGAATGAATTCTTACTGGTAGGGATAGTTACCATTTTCAATAAAATCATTCTTAAACTTAAATGGAAAGTTTAACAGGCTTTTAGAAACTGCTCACGCCTGAAGAAGGCTCCACGGCTGAAACATTGTGTTTATTTCTTCTCTTTTCAGCATGGAATAAACCTATTACTTGTTCCTTTGCAGGCTTTTAGAAAACCGACTAAAACAACAGAAAATGTTTTAGGCTAAATCCTGTGTATAGCACAGAAATTCCACCAAATGCAACACCGAAAAAGGACAGAAACATATCAAATATGTAAACTTAAAATCACTTAAGCTAAAGTGTTATATGACCTTAAAATAATTCATTGAGTTGTAGAACTAGAGGAAAGAAAAAGTTTAATATCCAAGAAACACCCAACTACAGCCATATAAATGAAGGTGGACAGTTTCCTGGCCTGAACTCAATGTTCTTTCTGGTTATAAAAAGATACAATGAAGGCTAACTTACTCATTATTATTAGAATTCTGGTGATAGGAATAATGAATAGGTTAAGAATAATGCTTTCCCTCAGCAAAGGATGAGAAGAGACTTAAGACCTTTATTGTTTTTGAAACAATGCACAAATAAAGTCAGTCAGTCACAAATCTCAACAGTTTGAGATGTAAGATTCTACTTAGTAGAAAGACTTGTTAGATTAATACTTGGGCTTGTCTTGAAATGTTCTTAAAACACTGGTCACCCTTCAAAAATCATTCAGATGTTGTGATGTCATTGTTCTACAGCTATGGCCAAAATATCAACAGACGAATACATATACTTTTATATAATCCAAGATGTTGTGCACGTCAACAGCTAAAACAAGACATTTTTACAGATGGGATTGCAGCAGTCAATTATACCCTGATCTCCAAAATGATGACGAAAGGCGAGTTGGCCAGCCCTTTTAACTTGACAGACACTGCATTTGCTTGCGAAATTGAAGTAAAATAAACAGATGCATATACAGTCATGCTTGAAATTTTGAGAACCCATTATAAAACTTGAGATTTTGTTTTTTTAACCACAAAGTGCATAATCAGAATTTGTCACTGCCTAATTGTAATCGAGTATAAGTATTCACACATTTGAGTGTTTTGAAAGAAAAGTGTCACGCAGCAAAATAATGCACACAGTATACAGAAATTGTGCAGGTGCAAAAAATAAGTGAACCCTTAGTTGTATGACTATACATCAAGGTAAAGCAGGATCAGGTGGATCAATGACAATGTTAACCAATTAACCGAGATAACCCATGAAATTGAAGATCTGAAATGTGTTAGGGAGGAGCAAACATAAATAATTGCAGGTAAATATCATCTATGGAAGGGTCGCCAGGAAGACTCTACTGTGAAAAAAGAACAAAGGTGCCCGTCTGAAGTTTGCCAGGGACCACCTGGACAAGCCTGAAGAGTTCTGGAAGTATGTTCTCTGGACAAATGAGTCCAAAATCGAACTATCTGGGCACAACGGGAGGGCCATGTTCAGCAAAGAGCCAGCACAGCCAACCATCAACAAAACTTTATCCATACTGTCAAGCATGGTGGTGGGAGTGTCCTTGTATGGGGCTGTTTTTCTTACTCTGGCCCTGGGCAACTTGACATCATTGAGGGAATCATGAATTCTGAGAAATACATCAAGAAACTTGAGAAGAATGTTAGACCATCAGTTTGAAAGCTCAAGCTGGGAATAAAGTGGATGTTTCAACAAGACAACAATCCTAAACATTCAAGTAAGTCCACTAAAGAATAGCTTAGGAAGAAGTTCCATGTTGTGGAATGGCCAAGCCAAAGCCCTGACCTGAATCCTATTGAAATGCTGTGGCAGGAGCTAAAGAGGGCTGTTCATGCAAGACGTCCTTCAAACCTCACAGAGCTGGCGGAGTTTTGTAAAGAGGAGAGGGGAAAAAATAATTCCAGCAAGTTATCAGAGACTGATAATTGGTTATAGGAGGCGACTCTGTGGAGTTATTGCTGCTAATGGAGGTGCCACAAGTGACTGAATTAAATTTACTTTTGCACACAAGAATATCTGGCGATTTATTAAATATCACAGTCTGATAATCTATGAGTTCAAATCCCCTTTAATGTGTGGGAAGTCTTTATTTGGGATATTCAGGAGTTCAGGTTCATATAATATTTAAAATAGTGACCACCTTGAAGGGTTCACAAACTTTCAAGCATGACTATATAATAAAATATCAATTTTAAGGATTGTAATATGTAGTATTCTAAAATAAGAAAGGTTTCCTTGCTCTGCTCTACATTTCAATAGCATTCATATATTGGTGCATGACTACAGTAATAATTATTCACATCAAGGCTCCAAAAAGTACCCCTTGTCACATTGCTGCAATGTATAAGTAACAAGTAAATGTACACGTCCCTCCTTCTTCAGGTTACTGGAGTTTTAAAACAAGCAATGCTTATCAAAACTGAATGCATTTAAAACTGTCCAATACAACAACAAATATCCATTGAGTAAAGTTTCTAGTTTTTCTTATCAAACACAAAATCAGATTTCAAACATACCTTTGCAGATGAGATTCTGAAAAGTTATTTTTCCAACAATTATAAACATTTAAAACTCAATGTAAAAATTGTTATAGTGATCCTTCTATAGATAAATGTTACTAAATACTACAAAGACTAGGCAGAAGATAAAATGTATGCAACTAACTTGTTGCATTTGACAAATGCACCCCTAAAATTAACAATTGAGTATATTTCCATTGTAGTTCAGGTGGGTAGCTGCGTCAGCATGTGTAGGCTGCAAAGGAACAATAGGTTTATTCCATGCTGAAAAAAAGAAGAAACAGAACACAACGTTTCGGCTGTAGAGCCTTCTTCAGGTGTTGAAGTAGAAGACCTGAAGAAGGCTCCACGGCCGAAACGTTGTGTTCTCTTTCTTCTTTTTTCCCAGCATGGAATAAACCTATTACTTGTTCCTTATTTCCATTGCACCCATCTACTGTATATAAACTGGCAGAACAGAATAGGAGCACATAAATCATTGTGGTTGAAAACCTAGTTATCCAAGAGCTCTGAATTAAACTGAATTAAATTACAGCATTAAATACTACACTCTTCCCCCAAGCATGTCTTTCATTACTTAATAAAATGTGCAATGGTGAACAACTGAATCAAAGATTAGAAAATAAATAGAACTATTGTATCAAAGACCCTAAAGAAAATCTGAAACTAACAAAATAAAACCTGTTTATCACAGCCACTGAGTCAGCGGTGAAAAGTACAGATATAGATGGACGCAAGTTATATTATTCCCAGATATGTCAGATATGTCACAAAAGTAGCTAAAATGGTGTTTTTCAAATCCTAACATGGACATCCTTATCATAAATTAGGACTAAAGAACATGTTAGCTCTTTCTATCATTTTGGGGAAAGAGGGAAGAATCAGCTGTGTGATGAAGATTTATGAAGTCCAACGCCACCAAGCCACTTTCATTCGATCCCACACGGCACCAAGAGAGTCATAGGCCGGACGAACATCCAGAATTGTGAATTGATAGTTTTCCTTGTTAACCGCTCCACCGTCATAGTAATCAATGACGTATCGGACTTCCTTTCCACAGCGATCTACAATCCAGTCATGTCTGTCGAAAGGTAATTCGTATCTGCTGGAACAAAAACAATGAGAAGAATAAAAATTAGATCCCCCCAAAAAAGTCAAACACAAAACATGTCAAACTACAATTCGGGGCAAGTTAAGCCATTCCATAATAATAGTAAGCTTCTAAAATGCCACCAAATTTCATAGATCATCCCACTGAAGCCACATGTGCTGCTTTCTGCCGTTAAGCAAAGGAGAGGTCTTTTACAACCTAGCACTTATATATGACACCCTTACCAGCACCCATGGATGCACTAAAACATCCTTATGGAAACATCCAAAGCTTTTGGCTGTGAACAAAATAGGCAAAACAGGTCTCACACAACCCTTGGGGTCACTGTAACCGGAACTTATAGCTTACCCCATCCAGGAGCGAATCCTAGCTCTTGGAGAGTATTCCTTGGCTTTACCCCCAAAGCGAACCAGGGTGGGTCCACAAGGGCATTCCCTAAAAATTGTCAGAAGACCATTAAGGGAAGCAACAGGGATTCAAACAGCTTTTAAGTATTTTAACGCATACTACACTGTGTAGGCTTCTCCAAATATATATTGCATTTATTACAAACTTGAAATAGTATTGTATAAACTCACTTTGCATGGAGGGCTTCCCATTTTAAGATTTCATGCCAAGCCTGCTCATTGTTTTGGTTGTGAATTTTGATAATATTGGTCATATCGCCTGGAGAAAGGTCATCATCTTTCCAGCGCCACCTAGAAGAAGTTGAGAATTTTCAGTTTTGATGCATAAGCGCTAAAAGCACTACTTAAACTACTTAAAGAGAAGTTATATTATATTTGCCTACCCCTTTCTAAGCATTGCATTCCAAAACATCTGTTCAGAGGGATAGACCCAGTTCTTTTCTGACCCAGCTCGAGGAATATTAGACTCCTCTCTTGCCACAGACAGAGAGAAGGGCTGATCTGGGGCAGGGGTCTGGTTTGGAGGAGGCATCTAGAAGTGGAAAAAACAGCTTTATTCTTACACAGCAAGGTACAAACTTTAAGAAGCTCTAATACTCACAGTTTCAGTATTTTCAACTAGCTTTCAAATAGGTTTTGTATATTTTCAAAGAAATTCACATTTAATTCATTCATGTACTAACTTTGAGGTTAGACTCTTTCCAAACAATTGTAAAACGTGTTATTTTCATCCTTCTGATGATATGAGCAGGAACCATATTGCAACCAAAGCACCCAAAATAAAAAAATAAACGGAAATAATACTTAATTCAAATAGGGGGGGGGAGAGAGAAATTCCCCTTTGTAAATCACAAGCTTTTTAAATTTAGAAATGAGTTCAGAATTTGTTGGGGGCACTTTTGGTCTTGCCCTTACCATATTTGCTGGGTCAATGTCACTAGATCTATTCTTTTCTCCAGCTGCTGCTCTCATTGGACACTCCACATATTCATAAGCTCTTTCCTGATGAGCTGGACCAGGAGGGCTCTCTTCTGGGACTGAGGCAGCAGTCTGGTGCATGGGACATCCAGGTGGTGGGGAAGCTGGGGAACAAGCATTAACAATTATTTGAAGACTAAGATTTCAGTTTTAAAATGGTGATTTTTTAATTTGGCTAATGGGCTTTGATTTAGATTAACTACTTAAACCAAACCTCCATTACTTTTCTATCCCCTAGAAGGTTTTTCTAAGTAGCAGGTTGTACATTTAAGAATACAAATAAAACAGCGGGAAAGGTAATTAACAAATGAGATGTCATTACTGATAACATTACTCACACAAAACTGGAAAAAATGCTTTGTTTCAATTAATTAGTTTTACAAAGCTATGACACACACTTTCAGCTTCCAGTAATTAGTCATAAAATGTACAGTATTTATAAACATATTCACATCCACATGTTTAAACAAATAAAAAAGACAACTTAACGGATGATGTGCCCATTTTGTTAACACCATTTGTAAGTGGTTATTTTGTGACACAACCTTCTATCACTGAAATGTTTTTTACCAAGTGCTGAAGTAATTGCAAATTCAGTTTCTAGGAGCCTTTACCTTATGTTTCTATATGCAGCTCCTGATTATAAGGTTCACTTATAGTGTTTGATAGATTTACAGCAACCCTTCCTAATCCTAATTCAGGTATAATTCATGTTGTGAAAAAAAATTAAAACAAACATTTGCCTTTGCACTCAGTTTATATTTATAATATAAATGTATCAGTCATGAACTACCTTTAAATAAAAAACAAACTCTTACATGGTTTACTTTTTTGGTGCATTGGACATTCTTGTGGAGATGCAGCAGTGTGCTGAGGTACTACTGTCCCTGCTGCCTGGACTGTAGACGTAGCACTGGATGCATTTGCGCCCATCCTTGCAGATAAGATACTCACCAGTCTCAAATGACCCACCTGTGAACAAAAAGAGATTATTTTCAAATATGTAATGACTTAGCACTATGACTTACATCTAGATATTTTTGCTGCAGTATTTCCCAGATAATGTTATCTGTACCATATGTACCGCAGACGTCCACAATACCACTTCTCAAATACTTACAGAGCGGTCCACAATTGCAGTACAGTTTGACTCTTTTGTGCCGAGTCCTGCCCTTAACCTTGATAAAAATTAAGCAGTCTTCAAGATCAAATTCGGCCACAGCCCATCGGTTGTTTGCTTTTCTACCTGACCATACTATCAATTAAATTAGTTATATGACACTCTTCCCCTATGTTAACGATACGCGCTCAATAGCCTTGGATAATTATTCTTACTGAACTGTATTCCACCTTGAAAAACTGAGCATTACAGGTACAACGTACAGCTTTTCATACGGACCATACCTAGTAACTTTGTTGATAGCTTCTGTTATATGACTAAAAACAGACGTTTTGTAATGTAATACGTAAAATGGAGGAAAAAATACAGAGCTAAAGCAAATGCATTACGTAATTCAGTGTTGAATAACCAGAAGATTCAGACCCCTACAAACGTATCAATACACGTGTCCGCTTTCTTTAAAAAGAAATCTCGTCTCTATTTGAGGTTTGGATGTACATTTATACGTCTACATAACCAAACATATAACTTCATATAATACATTTTAAGTCAAATACCCAATGCAAATATCTTATGAAAATACTCACCTCTCCAGCATTGCTCTCTCCAATGTCACACACAAACCACCAACTATCCACAATCCTTTGCTCTTAAGCATCGGTCGCGTAGATATGACGTAACTAAGCAGAGCCCACCCCGAACAGAAGCGTATACGGGCCTTCCAGAAAACGCAATTTCCTCTTCTAAACCGCGTAGCTGTACTTCCATTGGTCATTTCCTTTAAATTATTATGCTTACTTTACAACAACAACAACAACCTGGGGTTGTCCTGTGTCTTTCTTGAGCCATACATTAATGATGACGGGACAGCTAATAGTGCTCTTAGAGTATATAACGTGATCTGTATTTAACATAGTTTTGAGAAAATGTTTGTGAACCCTTAGGAATTAGCTATATTTCTGCATGAATGGCTCCTAAAATGTAATCTGATCTTCATCTACAGTAAATCATAATAAATTAAGTCTTATTAAACAAACAACACACACAAGATTGTATATTGACATATCTTTAATGGTTTAAACAATCAAGGTCATTGATAGAAAATGTATGTGAACTCTTCTATTTAGTAACTAGTGGAACTTCCTTTACTGGCAATAACCTCAACCAAACAATCTCTGTAGCTGCTGATCAGACCTACGCAGCAGTTAGGAGGTATGTTGGCCCATTCCACTAAACAAAACTGTTTCAGCTCATGTATATATTTTTAATTTCTTGCTGTAATGGCCTGCTTCAGATCACAGCCACGGCATTTGAATGGGATTTTCTCCAAACATAACACTGTATACATTTACCAAAAAGTTCAACTTTTGTCTTATCTGTACACAGAACATTGTTCCAGTAGTGCTGTGGAACATCCAGGTGGTCTTTAGCACACATGAGAGGAGCAGCAATGCTTTTTTTTGGAGAGCAGTGGTTTCCTCCATGGTAACCTCCCATGAACACCACTCTTGTTAAGTGTTTTTCTTATGGTAGACTCATGAACACAGACATTATCAAGTGCAAGAGATGCCTGCACCTGTTTGAAGATTTTATGGCATGCCCTTGCACTGATCTTTGTAGGACACCCACTCCTATGGAGAGTGGCAGCAGTGCTAAATTTCTTCCATTTGTAATCTGCCTGACAGTGGACTGATGGAGGCCCATGTCTTCAGAAATCCTTTTCTAACCCTTTCCAGTCTTATGAGCTTCAACAACTCTTCTTAAGGCCTCAGAAATCTCTTTCGATATTACACTTCAACAGAATTCTGTTGTGAAAGGCAGGTAACCAAACTTGTGTGATTTTTTATATGGCAGGGCAGGTCAAACCCAAACCTGACTTGATTGGAATACCTGACTCCAATTACCCTCTTTTCAAGATGTCATTATCCTATAGGTTCACATACTTTTTCCATCAATGAACTTGATCGTTTAAACCATTTGTACAATAAAGATATGACCATGTAAAATGTTGTGTGTGTTGTTTGTTAAATAAGTCTTTATTATTTACAGTGCCTTGCGAAAGTATTCAGCCCCCTTGAACTTTTCAACCTTTTGCCACATTTCAGGCTTCAAACATAAAGATATAAATTTTTT